GCAGGCAGCGGGCAGGCAGCGGGCAGGCAGCGGGCAGGCAGGGCAGCATCTGCCGCGCATCACCCTCGCCCGAGGCAGGGGGAGGGCAGCGCAAGTCGCGCTGTGCCTGGGAGGGTGCGCAGCCACACCCCGCACCACTGCAGCAGGCCCCTGCTTCACACACCCCTCCTGCAGCAAGGGACTCGAGTCGTGAAAGAAAGGAAATTATTTAGTCTTTTACTTCAGACTATTGTGTTCCCCATACCTGGACACATCCCTCCACTGTCAGTGTTGAAATCCAGCTTGTGGATCAAGCAACAGCCAACCCTGAAACCAAAGTGCTCCAACAGGGCTTTGAGGTCTGTGTTAGGGCCTTCTGGTCTTTTAAAGTGGAAGAAAGTTTCAGAGAAGAAAGATGCTCCACCACAGGCTGCTGTTAAATGAGCCTCAAACCTGCTAAAGTTGTGTGGATGCCTCAGTCTCTGCAAACCGTTGCCCTGGCTCCCACAAAAAACTGCTTCGGCAGCAGGCTGCTTTACAAGCATGGAAGTGTTTGGAAGATAAATAACCCATTCAGGGCCTGCTTTATTTTTATCAGGGATAAAACACAAGCCAGCAGGAAACAACATGGAGGAGGCCAGGGGCTTGATACTCGAAAGGAGGGGGATGGGTCTGTGGTCTCACAGCCCCGCAGCGCGGGGGAACGGAGCCACGGCGGGAGCTGCGGCCCCGGCTGCAGGGCTGACGCCCAAGAGCAGCCCGGGTTGCTGGGCTGAACCTCGGCAGCGGCAGGGCTGCGCACTGACGGGTGCTGCACTTGATCCTCTTCCCCTTCAATGCATTCTCAGATAATGCATGCAATGACAAGTCATGTTTTTCCTCACTTTCTTCTTGTCCTCCCTCTTTTTCCTGACGGCCATGCAAGAGCCCAGGTACCCAACGTGCTCTGTGCTTCTTTGGACATCCTCAGCCCCAGTCCCTCTAGTGACATGAAAACTCAAAACAAAGGCAGCAGAGTAAAACTTCCAGCTCTGCTCTACCAGAGACCAGATGCTCCTGAGGAAAGTGAACCTTCATCAGTGTGGGGACAAGGATGGGGAAGAACTGCTCCCTGCTTCCCACGGGTGCAGAGTTTGTGCTGGCAGCAGGGGCACAGCTCAGGCTCTGCACGCCATAGTAGCCAAAGGACTGGCCACCCACCCAGAGCATGCTCTGCCCTGTTTAAAGATTCTTCCTGGGTGCCCCAGAAATGTTCTACCTGATGATGATTCTACACTGCTCTTTGCTGAAGGGTTACACACACTCCACAGTAGTTAAGACCATGCTAATTAACACCAATAAAAGTAGTGCCTGCAGAAAAGCACAGTGGAAGAAGTGCTGTTGATTATTTGTGTTACTCTAGTGTCTAAGAACACCTCCGGTAATATCAAGGCCACTTTTAACCTCAAAAACTGATTGCCTCCATAATTTCTACTTTGCTTCCCCCCATGCCAGTGAGCCTTTTTTTTTTTTTTTTTCCCATAAACAAAATTTCTCTTTTATCGCTAAGAGCTTTTGGTTTCCAGAGGTTCATGCTATTGTCATCTGCTCCTATTGTCATGAGACCACTTGTCTTTGGCCTTGCTCACAGTGCCAACACAGGCTATTTTTACACATTTCTTTACAAAAGAGCTATCAGAATACATTCAGAATGCCCTTGGAAGAACACTACTGAAATGAGTCCATTCCAGGCAGATGATTATCAGGCGCTGAGCTGTGAAAGCAGTAGCATTAAACAACCAACATTCCTAAAACTTGAAGGGCTCCCCATTTCTGGGCAACTGTAGAGCTCATGCTGCCTCACCTGCTGCTGAGAGCACCCCGAAAGGGCAAAAGGTGATGGTTAAGCAGAGAGATGACAGTGCACAAACACAAGTAGGAAACCCTGCGAAAGAATTAATTTCCAGGGAGCAATGAGCTGTTTCTCCATCAACAGCTACTCTGGTGCAACAGGAGCAGCTCAGTAGGTTGAAGCAGTTGGTGCTCAGATTCCTCACATGTGGGGGCTTAGATCAGGTCCCCCATCCTCTGACTAAGCAATCCTGGGATGTATGGGCCTCCAAGCTATTACAAGGAGCCTTTCCTTTCTCAGCTGGAGGCCCTACTTGGAAGTGCCAGGCTGTACTTTCACCCACTCCATGCAGATGACCCATACCACCATCTCTATGGTCCATCACTATCCTCTTTCTCACAGCAGCAGCACTCAGGTTCTCACATGGAGTCCTAGGGACACCATGGTGCTGCCTGACTCTTCTTCCTGTTCCAAGCTCTGGTAACATTAAACAGCAGGTATCTGGGGGAGTAGATAGCTTATTCTTGCAGCTGTGGCAGGGAGGACATCCTGAGAGCTCTGGAGATCATTTCTTCTGTAAGAAACAACATGCACGATGTTTTCCTGGGAGTCTTTGCTGATGTTGTGGACTTAGCTAGAAGTTCTGGGCTTAAGATTGGCAGGACCACGTGAGATAAGAAGCAGCAGGCACAAAGCTTTTCCATGTAGAGAAGCACTGGTGGCAACCTTTGCTGTGAGCCAGCATGGCTTCACCGCTCCACTATGAACTTTCAGGAACACAAGCCCATGTTCAAGACTGCAACTGTTCCTTACACTCCCCTATTCCTGCAGGTCAATGGCAAAACAGTTTGGAATGGGCACAGACAAAAAAGGTGAGTCAGGGCCTAGGGGCTATGACCTGAAGCCTCTTCCTCCAAATAATGAAAAGTAGAATCAGCAACTTCAACCAGAGTTGTATTTTCTGGGTTCTTGACCTGTATGGGTGCTGCTGATGGGAGCCACATCCCTACCTGACACTTGAGCCAGGGCAGTTGTGACTATGTAAATCCCAGCAGCTACCATTTTATTCCTATACAGACTTTGGTAGTACATCCACTAAGGCAGATACATGGACCTCAAATGCTCATAATCTGTCTTCCTTACCACCACCCTCAGAATCAGTGGTTGCCGGTACCTTCTTCCCATGCAAGGAGACCATTTGCAGCCACAGGGTGCCCCCTGCACTGTGAGAGATACTATCCACACCCCTTTGTCACGAGGTACTACCAGGCAATTATGAGCCCAGTTTAACCACATCTTTTCACCACACACCCTGAGTTACAAGAATCCACTGCACTTTTCAAGTACAGAGGGAGCCTGTCTGCCTGTGCTGAACGGGGAGGATCACAGTCTCTGGCAGGTGTCTGCACAGCTCTTGGCATCCTCTGGGCCAGTCAGGACACGCCAGCACAGCATCTGCATTTGGGATGCCAGCCACTCTTTTGTCTATGAGGGCCACAAACATGCTGAGTCCAGGACTGCACCGAGAAGGGGTTCACGTGGGAGTGAACACTGGGACTGTTTCCCCCATCTGATACATACAACGGGAAGATTAAAAAAGCATGAGTTTTTTTGTACATCCTCAGGGCAGCTGCCTACCTGCCTCCCCCTGGGAATGAGGCTGGAAGTCTCTGCACATCCCCTGCACCCACCCGGGCTCTGCAGCCTGCAGCCCCTTTGCACAGGCACGATTCCTCCTCCCGTCCTTTCACTGACCTTCCCGGCCACACACAATATTAGCACTTACACTGCCTACATGGCCCTCAGGAAATCTCAGGCCTCTGTGTCACTAATATGCTAAAACCAACAAAGCTGACAGTTCAGAAGGCAGCTTTCTAGCTGCTTCTCCAAGAGACAACTGGAAATTTTGGCAGGGCCTTTGGCAGGGAACCAGCTGCAATGGTTTGAAACAGTAAAACCTGGAATGGAGGAGACAGCTCAGCCTCCACCTCCTAATTAGGCTTCATGGAACAGAGACAAAACACTAAACTGAAACATAACGGCTTGTGCTAATCCATAAGCACTTCACTCCCCACATGTTGTACAGGGACAGCCTGTCCACCAGATCTGGAATTAATGAAGTCTCTGTGCTAAGGGGGACTGGAAGACAGCTAGTGTTAACTCCTGCAAAACTGGCTTTTAAACTAGAGATTCCTGGATTTTGCTAACTCAAGGTGTGTCCAGTTATATGGGAAACCTACAGCTTTGCAGATTTCACAGTTCTTCACAATTCAAAGTATCATGAACGAAACAAAATTCAACCATCACAGCGTGGAAATACCTAGTCTGTGGCTGGCATGCTCGGTCCAAGGTTCTGCTTGCTAGGAACAGCCGCAGAACAGGACCGCAGAGAACTGGTTACAGTTTGTGGCTTATGTGTAAAACCCCTTCCACAGCAAGTGGAAGGGGAGAAAAACTCACAACTCCAAACACTGTCAGGAAACATGCTTCCTCCGCCCAGAGGGGCGAAAGGCTCAACTGCCAAAAAACCCCCTTCCCTCACAGATCTGCAAGTTCTGCATACACCTAGAACTATTTGCTTGCTATCAAGAAGGATGCATCTCAATTTAGACACTAGTTCCATGACTGAAGATGTCCTGACAGGTAGCTCTTCAACAACTTCTCTTAGTTCACAGACCTCCCTCTTATCAGGACTGTGCAAAAACAGGACAGCTGAACACACGAGAAGCAAACTTCAGTCGCAGATACTGAGATCTGTAAGTATCTGGGCTGTGGTTCTGCAAACCTGAGATTACCAGGAAAACCACCGCTGCACCTAGAGCAACTAACATATAATGTCTATAAACCCAAGACAGGTTAAACCTTAGTTAATGTGTCCTGTTTTCAAACATTACAAAACCAAAAAAAGGCTGTTCTCTTCCTGTACAAACCCAGTTCAATTTTCAGCCATCTCTGGGAATCCTGACCAAGGAAAGCATTCCCTCCTTCTCCTCCCAGCCCACACACAACTTCTAAATATGCACTTATGAGCATCTACTGTCGGTATAGCGACCTTAAAAACACTGAGACTAAATAAATTGAAAACTGCTACAATACACAGTGTCTCTAGAAGTACAGCTCTTTAATGAGACCACTGTATGCTGTCTAGTCTTAGTATTCCAAATTGTTGAAAATAAACTCAAGTTTAGAACTACCACTTACAGTTACTGTTAACCATTTCATCATGATGCTCCAGCTAATCCACTGCAATCTTGAGAAGTACAAACCAAACACAGAACCAAAGTAACTTAAGCAAACATGCAGAAGAAAATTTAAAATACCACCAAAGATCGTACCAAATAAAGCCTCCCACTTAATTCCTTCAGACGCAAAGCCTAATGGAAAATGATGCTTATCTAGTGAGTCAAATACCCATTTTAAATTGCTGTGAAAATCCACAAGCCAAAGCAGCTACTAAAGGCTTAAGGCTCAGTATACAGATCTAGCTGCTCCAAGAAAACCCCACTTCATCATAAAAGCTAAGGGTATAAGCTGCAACAGAGAAATTTTAAGATTCATCAGCCTTGCTTCAGATGGTGGTGCACTCCATGTCCAGTACACATGGTGTCAATACTACTGTTATGTATCAGTCTGTCAATGCCTAAGCTTTGCTCCATCTTCAAGACATTTCCAAAGCCATTCCAACCACAGAGCCCACTCCATCTTCTGAGATGGGAACGTGGAGAAACTTCACAGTATCTGCTCATTGGACTTTGAGCCTCCAGCGCCTAAAGCCTGTCACCCTAAAATACCAGGCTAAGCCAGACAATGACTTCAACATCCATAAACTACATTCCATGAGAATGTGAACATCCACAACTGAATGTTGGGTAGATACAAACAAGAATTAATCTCTTAATTTATAAGCAATCAGTACACACTTTAACTCTTCTGCTTAAGATGCTTCGGAATAAAGAGAAAAAGCAAACCTCATCCCCTCTCAGTTTCGGACTGCCAAGCCTACTGCCCGTCCTGTAATTTGACTATTCAAGTATTTTCAAGTCAATACCGACAAATTTCTTGAGGTCACAAGCTTCTCTAGTGTTTCTCTACACGTAGACAACAGTTTTATGTCACTTAACTTGAGGTAGCTAAGCAATGCCTTACATCACACTTAGAAAAGTAAAGTATTATTTAACCATATCTGCAACACTGTTAAGGTTGGGTTTATGCATGTTAAAAGCTAACTGAGCAGGTTACCTTCAGCAGTTTCTTTAGCAAGCTTCATTGTTTCAAAGCTCACAAAAATAGCATCGGTTATTAGTTGACTGAAGATGTTCTTTAGCAAGTTTTGGAATTAAAGCCTTGTTTCCTAACTACTATTTCAGAAGAACACTTATTGGCTTGGGGATGTTTTAAGAATCCTTCTTTAACAGGTTCCAATGGTGAAATACCAAAATCTGCCCATGGCCATTTCTCAAGAGGTTGCTCTCAAAAACTGTTTTCACAATTCTTTGGTATTAATCTCAGGCTCCTCAGCCAGAAGCTTGCATCAATGAAATCTGAAGCCTGTTCTATCTTTTCCCACAAAAAAATTAAACCTTCAAGTGACACTTTACAGTTCTTGGTATATGCTCTTAGTTTGCTGCTGAAATATTCCATGTCCTCTCTTATTACCTCATGATCATCACTAAGCATTAGCAAATTTCAGTGTTCCCAGGATTTGAGGTCTAAACAAATGGCTAAACTGATCAGTGAAAGCTGCAGATGATTTAAATGACCAAGTGCCATGTAAGACAAGTTAAATAACCAAACTTCAATAAATGAAAAGGTTTCTAAAGCATCTGTTCCAAAAATCTAAAGGAATCAACCACAATCACATACACTTGTCCAAAACCAGATCTTTAATTTATTTTTTTAAATGTGCATTATGCCATGAATTCATAGGGAATTGGCTCCAGCAGCTCTGGATCCTTGCCATTAGTTCTCACAAAGTGTGCTTCTCTTGGTGGAGCAGGCTGTAAAGAGAAAGAAAAAATTAAGAAAACTCACAGCACTAAAACTACAGAAAATTAATTTTGATGACCATTTAACACATTATTATATAAACATTACAGCAGTTTTACCATTCCTAGTCTCTTTAAAATTTGATTCAAATAGCAGTAAGAAAATGATCTGCTAGAAAGTGTGCTTGACTTTCACTGCTGAATTAAAAAAACTACACTTTACCCTCTGCAATTTACTAATGCAAATTAACATGAGGTGACCTACTCTGCAGTTCCACAGGCAACAGCCATTATCTCCTCTCTAAACTCTAGTTATTCATTCTTTTCTTACAGGGTTACAACAGAAACTGCTGTAGCTACATGCAACTAAGCCAAAGACAACACTGATGCCAGAAATCAGTGAGAGATTCCACTGCAGATCAGCAACACAACAGGGAGCATCCATTCCTTTGCTCATGGCCCAGGCTACAGTTTCCACGCAGGAGCAGTGCAGTTCTGTTCAGGCACCAAGCACATCTGACAGTGCAGACACACTGATGCTGCCACTCTACTCTGAAAAAAAAGTCATCTCCTGCAATAGGACTGCAAAGACACCTCAAACACAATCTGCCCGCGCCCTGGATTTCTCAGAATGATGTAGGCAGCTTCATTCAAGTGTGGTGGGGTTTTTTTGCTTTTGTTTTTCAAAGACAGACAGAAAGAGCTCAGTTTACAGCATAACACTGTTGTTTTGGAAGAAAACATTTTACTCAACTGGCTTGGTTCTAGCTTTTCTTTGGTAAACTCAATCAACAATGTGTCAACTACAATAAAAATATTACCTGACGTTTCAGTTGAACCCAAATGCCTTTCTCTTTTGCTTCCTTTTTCTTCCTTTCATTCTCCTTCACACGCTGCAGAAAGCTGTCTCTGCTCTTGGAATGTTTAATATGCTCAATACGCACATTAATCCTCTTGGCAAGAATCTTGCCCCTAAGAAAAGAAATCAGTTTTTACCCTACTGCACTTGAAAAAAGGCGACTTCAAAGATTGTTTTACAGCCCTTACATAAGTAACTCCATAAGCTCAATTACAGGTAATTTTTCTTTAAAGGGCAACCACTCAAAATACACTGCTGCAGATGCAAATCAGACATAACTTATATAACTGAAAGCTTATTAATATATAACAATGCACTGACAATTTCAGATCAAGATTGTGGAGAACATACAATTTTAACCTTGTAGCATAAAAGCAAAAAATTGTACTACCACTGTACTCCAATCCAGTTCCTAGAAAAAAACCCAAACAAATTGCCCTTTGCTCACTAGACTGTACGAAATCCAGCTGAATACAGCTACAGATCAATATTTTAAAAGGGCTTCAGTACCGATGCGAAAGTTTGCTGAAAATCCCCATTAGGTAACATCATTAAGTGCTGCTCAGAAAAATAAAAACTGTTTCCTCTGACAGGATCCAAGACAAATGAGCATCATTTGTTTGGGTTATAAAAAGGATATACGCTTTACCCACCTTGAATGACCAATCAAGACAATAACTGTCTAACTGGCAAAGTGAAAGGAGGGTGTAATTACAGATCAACTTTTCCAAATACCAAGTTTCAATACATGCAATTTCATTACTTACTTAACCTGCTTGTTAACAATAATGCCCACAGCGTGCTGAGTAACATTATACACCCTTCCAGTCTTGCCATGGTAACACTTGTGGGGCATACCTTTTTGAACAGTACCCATACCCTGTTAAAAGGTAAAACAAGAATAAAGTGTAAACTTTAACTGGAAAAAACAAAAGCGCAACATCAAGGACTTTTCTTTCAGAAGCTATTTAAAGTATGTATTTTAAATTACTGGAGATTGATTTTAAAATATCCCTATTTTATTCGTACCTTAGAATTTATAACCATGCCTTTTCTATCTGAAGACTACCAAATTTTGTTATGACAATTCTGGTTGCTTTCAGCGTCGGTGAAATGATCGATCACTTTGCTTTCAGCAAGCAATCACATGAGACAATCATCATCAAGCTCCAGTGTGTCAAGAAGTGTTAATTCTGAACAGTGCAATTCTCCAAGAGTCAAACAACAAACAAGCAAATTACACACTATCTTCAAAAAGACTGTTAAGAAAACTCTGCATTTCAAATGAAACTAAAGGATTCAACCAAAGTAGGAATCCTTGGTGAAAGGCTTTCAGGTTTGCTACAACTTAATTTTAAAAGTACAGTTGATTTTAAAGTACAAGTTCTAGAAAATACCAAGTGATGGAAAACCCTGCTTCACTTTTTTCCCTGTATTAATATATATGATGTACCCTTACTTTTATTTCTTGTTTTCTAGTTTTAATGTGGCTTCACAATCACCACTCCATATTTTAAGTACAGTCCTACAATGATACAGACATAACTATCAGCTACACCACCATAAACTATTGCTCTTCTGAATAGCAGGTGCAAGTCAGGCAAAACAGAACATTCACTAAAATGACAGCTGGGGTTCCTGTGAAAGTAGTGCTAGTAGGCTCCAACTGGAGTACTAAATAGGGTATCCTTCATCACCTTTTTTCATCTGAACACAGAAACAAAGCACAGAAAAAAAATATTTTTTATATATATTAAAAAACCCACATAAACTAGCACATGACAATGGTTCAATATCACTATTATTCCAGTATTGCTTCAAAAGTGAGCACCAAGTATGACACACAACCTGAGTAACAAACCCCCCCCAAAACTACTGGAAACTGAAAAGGATTATACTGCTTTAGCTTTAAATTATGTAGCATTATAGAAAGTACCTTGATATCAACTATATCACCCTTCTTGTAAATGCGCATATACGTAGCCAGAGGGACAACTCCTGTTAAGAGATACAAATTTGGATACTTATGAAGCCCACAATTTCACATACAGAATGGGGTGGGGGACACACAGATCATGCATTTGACAGTTTTTCTTAAATACCTCAAATTTAAATTCAATTTCAAAACCACAAAACTGAGAAACCAAACCATCTTTTTTTTAAGCAGTAATTACCTCTACACATGCTCCCAATTAAAAGAAAAAAAAAAACAAAAATCCAACTAACTCAGGAAAAATTACAGCTTTAATCTTATTCCTAATGCAGAAGCTGAAAAGGCATTTACCATTTACTGCTTCACTGTGAACACTGCTGTTATTACCACTCATTGCTAAGAGGTAAAAAGCTGTGCATTTTAAAAGTAACTTGAAATATTTTCTTCACCTTCAAATTAATTTTCAAGCACTGACAAAATTAGCATTGTTACTACTGTCAAGCAATATGAGTAACAACGCATAAGTTTAAGAGCTGAGAGCATACTATCATTCTAGTGCATAGTATCATTCTACAGCTTTTCACCCAACTTGTCAGAAATCCCATGACACAAGCCATGTTCTACAATTGCTACTTAGGGACTGTTGACATCCAGCAGGTCAGTGATTTAACACAGTGTTCTTACTACAAGGTATACTCACCATGCTTGCGAAACGGCCTTGAGAACATATAACGTGTCCCTCTCCTCTTTCCCTTTGTGTTCGTCATTTTGGCTGATTACTGTAAAAATGAATACAAATTATTCAGAACTAGTAGTTCCTTCACTAGAAATCAGCCTTATGGTATTTTCAGACATTTCAGAAAAATCAAGTCTTTATGACACCACTTCCAAATTACTGGGTCAATTAAAGCAATGTTATTAATTTAGACAATCATAGAAAACAGTATTTATAGTACCACAGGGTAACTCAGACTAGAATGGATGCTAGCAAGTCACCTAGCTCAACCTCCTGCTTAAAACAAGGTCTACTGTGAAATCAGACCAGGCTGGCCAGGGCTTTGTCCAGTCAGGTCTTGAAGCCCTCCAAGGATGGAGACTACTGCTCAGCCTCCCCGGGGAGGTCTGTTTGGAGGCCTGTCTCTTCTCATGATGAAAAACTTTTCCCTTACATCCAACCTGAGCTTCTCATCTTTACTTAAGCCAGCTGTCTCGCGCTCCTGCCACGTGCCCCCGCCAAGCACCAGGATCCATCTTCTTGACCATGGTGCTGTTCGGTGACCCCCAAAGACACCTTCGCTCCAGGCCGAGTAAGCCCAACTCCCTCACCCTCTTCACGAGGCACCCAAAAAGCAAGATCTCCACTACCACATTTATCAACCGCTACTACATCTGACACACGGCGCACACACCCCGCGGCCCGACTGGGGTGCCAGCCACATTAGCGAAGCCTGAGTCCCGCCGCACCCGGCGCTCCCTACTGCGGAGCCTATCTGGGGGAGCTGCCCCAGCCACTCGGCCTGCACAGGGCCGCTCCCCAGCCCCTGACCTCCCGCCGGCGGCCGCGGTAATTTGTGTGGCAGATGTTTCCACAGAGATAAAGTACGGATTATGAACAAAGAGCCTTTATACTGCTACAGGTTGCATCAGCTGTGTGGTGCCTGAAAATGAAGCGGACTGGTGAGCAGCTTCCAGAGCTGATGGAGTGACTCATTGTGTTTGTGCATCGTCAGTATTAGAGCAGACAGGAATCATCATGGGAAGCTGATTGTAGGCAGGGGTGAATCAAAAGAGGGCCTCCTTCCCCTTAGCTAAACAGGCAGGGACAGTTCAAAACTTGTCTCAGCAAGAAGTTGCCCTACTGCAGGAATTTTTGTTTTGAATGAAAGAAACACTTACTTAATTCAGAGGAGGGATGATTCCTTAAAGAGGCAAATAAAAACATACTTGATCCTCTGACTAACTTCACAGTTATTCTAATGTTGTCTTGCAAATCTTAAGCCCTTTCTATCATCATATTAAAGCTAGTTTAATATTTATGGGTCGCAAGCATGGATATGTGGGGTTAAATACACTATCAGGTTCTGCCTGCAAAGCTGGCTGGCAGGGCATGTTACCACAGACAGAGGCCTTCTCTCCACACAAAATCTCTTGGAATAAAGTGTTATATTTAGAAAAACATGTCTGTATTTCAGCTCCGCACCATGAAAATCTAGAGTTTATAGCACCTGATATCTACACAAAGAAAATCTCTATCATTTGATACTCATTCAGCCTAGATACCGTGAAACTTTTGCAAGCGTGAAGACATGGGAAGCGTATTGGCAACAGATAGATTTCAGGGAGGATATTGAGCAAAGAGAGACAGGAAGCCAAATCCTAAAAGGCACTATTGAATAAAGGAAGACAGGCATTTTTAGTGAGTTGAATGCCTTATTCTTGCCAGTGATTTACATAAAGGGCAAATCACCACATCGAGCAGGAAGGAATGGGGAAGAAACTCCACATGCTGAAACTCATGTCCACATAAAAAGCATGTCTGTAATTCATAAGGGAGCAGTAACTGTGTACTTAATTGAACTCTGCTTTATTTGAAGCCAAGACAGACATTCAGGATTTGCTACATTTTTTACCTGGATAAATTGCATAACAGATTTATTAAAAATTTCTGTAATGTTTTTATTCATAAAATTTACCTTGATTAGCATTCCCAGGATCATCATTTAGCTAATTTCAAAGAATCAGAATCATAGAATGCTTTGGGTTGGAAGGGACCTTCAAGGTCATCCAATTCCAAGCTCCCCTGCCATGGGCAGGGACACCTTCCACTAGCCCAGGTTGCTCAAAGCCCCGTCCAGCCTCGCCTTGAACACTGCCAGGGAGGGGGCAGCCACAGCTTCTCTGGGCAACCTGTGCCAGTGTCTCACCACCCTCACAGTGAAGAATTTCTTCCATACATCTAATCTGAATTTTTCAGTTTAAAACTATTACTCCTCATCCTATCACTACGCTCCCTGATAAAGAGTCCCTCTGCATCTTTCCTGTAGCCCCTTTTAAGTACCGGAAGGCCACTACAAGGCCTCCCTGGTACCTTCTCTTCTCCAGGCTGAACAATCCCAGCTCTCTCAGCCTGTCCTCATAAGGGAGGTGCTCCAGCCCCCTGGTCATCTTTGTGGCCTCCTCCAGACTCACTCCCATCAGGCCCATGTCCTTCTTGTGCTGGGGACCCCAGAGCTGAATGCAGTTGTGCAGGTGAGGTCTTACAAGAGGTGAGTAGAGAGGGAGAATTGCCTCCCTCAACTTGCTAGCTACGCTTCTCTTGATGCAGCCCAGGATACAGTTGGCTTTCTGAGCTGCGAACACACGTGCTGGCTCACATCTAGCTTTTCATCCAATACCCACAGGTCCTTCTCCACAGGACTGCTCTCAATCCATTCATCACCCAGCCTGTATTTGTGCATGGGATTGCCTCGACCCAAGCGTGAGACCCTGCACTTGGCCTTGTTGAACTTCATGAGATTTGCAAGGGCAAAACAGTCCATGTTTCACAATTTGTCTCCATTGAATCATTCACAGGGCATGCTGCTGGGATTGATCCAGAAGTCCATCAGTCCATCCTATCTACCAACATCTGACACACATTTTCCCAAAACTGTGGCCTACAGAGCGCTTGAACACTGAAGAGCCTTTGTATGTTGCTCACAAAAGGATTACTGAATAATGGCTGTCTCTAGCAGATAAAGGTGCACAAGTTGTGGGGTGAGTTCTGGTCTGGAAATAAGCTAGCAACCAAGCAGATGTGGGGGAGACTGGCACCTCTACATTCCAGACTTACTGCCGTGTCTCATCTCCTCAGAAAACCAGCCTAAACTGCTCTTCCTTGATCAAACTGCAGCTGTAGGATCCAGATTCCAATTTCTCCTAGGCTGTAGAGCAAACACCACATCTGGTTCTGCTTCAGAAGCACCACATCCTCAAGCCGGGTGAAGGCGAGTGGCAACGCCTAGCTTAACATGAAGATCTAAAACCCCAGGAAGGTCCCAGGCTGGTGCTCCACCCATTAATGTATTCTGGAAATCTTACTACACCATGATAGACTGTTTCCCTCCTACTCTCCCTTGCTTGGAGGTAGAGCAAGACAGGGAAAGCAACTTCAATGGGAACCAATTCAAAAGTTGCTGGGGAAAGGAGCTTGAAAGGGAGGGCTCATTAGAAGTCAGGGGAGTGGGGATGAGATAAACATCACTTTGTTTTTCAGAGTGGAAAGTACCATGCCTAAAGAAAGTATTTCCAGTCCCCAAGCTCCCATAGTCAGGGTTCTGGTATCTTCTCTGGGAGAGCCATATTTTTTTTTCTGACACTTCTCTGCAGCATCTGTCTGGACGACAGCTCTCTCTAAAGAACAAATGTGCTATGACGATTCTGCACATGGGGTTGTCAGGAATCCTTCACTGAAATTTTAAAGCTCAGTGGGATCTGGCTCGCTCCTACGCTCAGAGGACTAAGTGATACACACAGAGATCTCGAGTGTGACATTCCATTTGTGTTAGGTTATTCAGCAGGGGTGTGGAGGGAATTTAAATTAATGAGAATTTGTAAAGGGCTCTGAGGTGAAAAATGAAAAATATTCCCCTTCATTAGGGTGTAGGTCTCCTGTGTCTCATGTAATGCATTCATTACAGGGGAAAAAAAAAAAAAAAAAGATAGCTGATTATGACTGGAGCAAAACTTGAACAGAAATAACAGAATAGGTGTTAAATAAAGAGGATTGAAATCTGCAGTTCCTCAGGTGATAATGCTGCAAAACCAAGGGTTTAAATTGAAAATCAAACTTCTGAAGTTAATTGGTTACCCCATGGCAGGCTCCCATCCATAGAAGCACAGCATCTACTCTGGGCTTTTGATCAAAAAGTTACTGACCAAAGTAATCTGTGTCACCTCTTAAGATGACCTTGTTGTTCCATTGTTCATGCTTTCCAAAAGTATCGTGTCATGTGGCAAGAGTCGTGCTTCTGTCCCCTTTCATGGACTCTTTAGCTTGCCAATGATTCTAGCTCTAACAACCATTTTATCTCCGATAGTCAGTTCAACTCCTCATTCAGAAAGCCCATTCTGTAAATATAAGCCTGAGCCTAGTTTCATGGGAGTTAAAATGAATAAAATTTGTGTCTAAGCAACCAATCACCTTCCAAAAATGACTACAGACAAACTCCTTGAATGGGCTCACAGTGGAATCACAAAAGTGCCAGAGTACAGGTGGCTGATGCTGATGCCAGTGAAGTGTTCCATGGAGAGAGGAATGGAAAATAATGACAGTGTGCCTCTGAGAGAAATTAAAAGGCAAAAACTGTATAGACCAAGAATTGTGATGGGGCCCAGCACATTACACATGGGTGAAAGTTTTTGTTATGCTAATATTACTTATATATTAATTGCTAATTCAAAATGTTACTAGATGTAGGTAGATTGATACTGAAGCCAAACAAATGGCCTTTTTTCCATCATTATCTCAACTGCCACATAAAATCTGAAATACTGAACAAGTTCTGTCATTCAACTGCTTATTTGAATAACATGGCATTCTACTTGTATATGTACCTCAGTGAACACTGCATTACTGACCATACAGAAATCATCATCAACTTCCAGGAAAGCTGTTATGTTACCATGAGCAGCTTCTCAGATGTACCAAATAATACAATCCATTTATCAAACTTAATTTTTGAAATTAATTAATGCCCTTTAATGAATTAGTGTCCCTTTCCTCCCTTACTGAGTGGCTTCTCAGGGAACTGGTTTCAATAATGCAGTTTTCTCAAACTTCTTATAAGTG